CCCGATATTGACGGATTCGACTGTCGATATGTCGTTACGACTAGATTCATTCTCACGCGTATTGCACGCGTCCCTTCGATGTCGCGAGCAATTATTTCCCGGCGAGACACGCGCGGTAAGGACACGCGAATCGCGCAATTGACGGAATTACCGACGAAACGACAATTAGTCGAAAATAACCGGGGCTTAATTCCTCGTGAATCATGTAGCACCATGTACGCGAAAAATTCAGACTTAACAGGTGAAAATGAGAAAAATGATAGAAGTCATACTTGCGATCGTGGGATGTGTACCGTTTAAAAATATGTCGACGTCGTTCATGCTACACGAAGCGACCATTGTGACCTGTGCGGAATTGGCTGAAAATATTCAGATGCGGCCATTTCGCCGCTAATCAAGCGACTCGTAGATTTATGCCGTAGAAAGTTTGCGGTCCAAAGAGTATAGGCACGAGCACTAAAGATTCGGAGCGAGAAGTTCACGGTGTAAGTGGTACAGAGGAAACGGCTGTTACTCAATCCGTTTTGCCACTTCTGCGACGAAGTGACATTGACACGGATCGGTCTTGGAAACGGGGTTTATAGGATGCCATCTTGGTTCGTTCCCGTCTTAATAATTCATACCAAGCGGTGTATATTTATTCAGCAGACACTTTGCCCTCGCCTCTGCCTCGCGACTCTCCCTCGTCCGTAAGACAATTTGCGATTTCGTTTTTGAAATTGCCCCGGGGTCACTTAGCTCGCGAGACCTCGCCCAAGAGGTTACCGAATGCAACGAAATAAAAAAGAAAAAATGTATATAACGCCAGAAATTCAAGACATTGAGAAATTGAATTTCCAGCCGATGCGCCTCCAATAAATGCGAGAAAGTATTTTTACCAGGGGGGAATTTTTGACCCGGAAAATACATCGGGAGACATTTCAGGCTGCGTTAGGGGTGCCTACTTGGGTAAATACATATTTACATGTGCATTCAAATTGTCCCATTAGAAGATGTATATATAAAACGTTCCATTATGGCCGCCCCTGGTCGTTCCGCTCTCTTCGCGCCCATCCCCGAAAAAATATAACACTCCGCGGTAGGTTCGGCACAGCTAAAGTAATACAATAAAGTACAGTTTATGCCGTTCGATCCGAGTGTGCGTGGACTGTAACGGGCGGGGCGTTATACGAGCATTACCGTATAACGCGAGCGCGTAACGCATATGCGCCGGGAAATAGGCGTAAAGCTTATTTTCTTAAGTGATTGGATAACCCCTCTCCGGAGCCGCCCTGGATATCCAGGGCTCGACGCGCGATAAACGGAATATCCGGGAGATTTTCCGCGAAGGTCGTTTTAATCCACGGGAATCACTTTACGAGCCCTCTCGTCAATTTCTCGAGCAAATCGATTTTGAAAAAAAAAAAGAAAAAGAAAGAAACCCTCGAGGAAGAGACAACCCATAGGATGGGCGGATGAGTTTTGAGTCCTCCGGAACGAGGAGGTTGCCTTTTTTGGTCCTTCGCTGGTCCTTCGCGACTGGACCGAGGAAAGAACGAGGGAAAAGGCATCTTTTGCGAGGGCAGTACTCAAAGGCGGGTTTTAAAACGAAATTAAGTCGTTACCCGGTCTGAGGTCTGCGCTATCCCGTGCGCCGAATACGTAATGGCCTACGACTACGTAATATCAAAATGAGATTTATGTTAATTGTTGCCTAATTGTCTTGCGAACCGTTGTTGCGGGAAGCTCGTGCACGCGGAATCCGTAAGAACGAACCCCTGGACGACGGACGCAATGCCGGAGGAGTTTCCAGGACCCGGGGAAAACGGATTCTGCGGAGAAAAATTCACGGACTCGGAAATAAGGTAGACCCGAGACCAGGACTCCCATTCTCGAGTTCGTGGGGAATTTCCTTTTTTTTTTTCGCACAGGAATAAATTTCCTATTATTGCGAAGTACTGGTCAACGTTTCAAAGTCTTACACGAAATTGTGAATTTTCCAAGCGAAGATCGATTGTATGAATTCGATATAATCGGGGTAATGCTTCCCAAACCAAAAATCTTGAACGCAAAATTTTTTTATTTGGAATCTAAGGGTTCCCGGGGTCTTACCTTTTTAGAGCGCATTTTCTTTCTTTCAATTGAAACTCAAGTCAGCCCTCGGGAAGGATCGAAAGGACCAAGAAATTTATCCGCTGGTGAACCGGACGGACGAGTTGGTCGCAAGGACGCGGTGTTCCCAGACGGAAGTATTATTGAATAAGCGAACCACGGTTTCCGTTTTCCTCCCAGTGGACAGAGGGTGGCCTCGCTCAGAGGGCTTATTTATTTTCCCTCCCCTACGAAGCTCCGTCCAGCCCCGGTCGGACGCTTCGACGAGGAACCGCGGAAGCTTCGTCGGAAGGCGAGCGAGATGAGCTTGCGGCCAATTAGCTCGGAGGATTTTAAAATAAACACTCGTTACCGGTACTTAAAACAAAACCCCCGGGCTTCATTAGATTACCCGTGCGTCGCTTTTCCTCCGGTGACATCCCATCCCCGTCTCCCTGGACCCTGGAGGACTCTCGCCGCCCTTCCTCGGGGACCCTGGAAACCGGCCGTGGGTTTGGGCGAGGCGGAAGTTAAACCCCGAGGTCCAGTCGGTAAAAACCCTCAAATCGATAATAATTATCAAAGGAACCTATTTACTTTTTATTCCCCGGCCCCAGATCGGATTGACCCCCGTGAACCTGGGTTCTCTCCCGAAGACGAGCTTTACGATAACGAACGCCTTGCCGAGGAAAGGTCTTCACGCGTTTGCAATCACCGCGGGACCCTGGGTTAAGCGAAATGAACTTTCTCCTTTTCTCCGGGAGGATGCTGGGTCCGTAGTTGAAATTCCACGCTCTTTGTGGAGGACCGGGCGCGGACAAAGGGCGGGAGCGAGAGTTTTCTTCCGACGATTTGTCATTGCGCTTTTGAAGTCACTGTCGGGAGCTGGCCTATTCAGGGCATTCATCCTCGGCGGGCCTACATCGAGCATCCGGATGACGTACAGCCGTCCAACACCGAGGCGACGAACTGTTGAAAGTAGAGCGGCGTGATTGCATCGTGACACCCGGTGCACCGTCCAATTCTAGCCCGATCGGCCCTACCTCGAAAAGTAGGGAACTAGAGAGCAGCGATTTCGATGCCCGATGATTCGCGGTTATTTTCGATGACGCCTCTGCGCATCCGGATGCCAGGTCCCAGATTCGCGTTTACGGTCCCGCAGTTACCGGGCAAACCTGGGGGAAATAATTCCAGCCGATTCCGCGGACGCGTAGGATCGGCGAATCATTGGCTGCGATTAGACGACGGCGGTCTTAAACAGTCGTTTGCGACGCCGATAAAGCGACCAGACGTCAAAGAGTACCGAGATCCGATGATGCGGCAAGGCACCGCAACGTCCGAAGCCGCGTCGTTATCCAGTTCGTTAACAACCTCCGTTTATTTTTCCACAATCGTCCGGAGATTAAAGCCGCATCATCGACGGTGTCTCTTCGGTTGGGACGCGATTGCGGGAATAGTCCCGACGTGAGATACCCGGCTCTAAACGAGATAAAAGTAAAAACCGGGGGACTACAAGACGAGAGCTCTCGGGGATCCAGTTTCCTTTCGCGGAGAAAGTCCTCGCCGGATATTCCCCTTTCTTCCCGGTCCTTTTTTCGGTCCCTTTGCCCCGTTACTCGGGACCTCGTCCTTTCTCCGCTTGGTCCTGGCACAGGAGGTCCAGGAACCCAAAAATGATGACACGTCTTGAGAAAATCCTACGCGGTTACCTTGCCGCGTTCTCCGAGTCGTTATCCTTATCACGGGCGGGGACATTCGGGGAAGACGAGTCGAGAAAGTGTATCATTGGGCACCGTAGAGAGGGTTCACCGTGCCAGTGGGACGGCTCCGATATGTCGGACGAAGCGTAATTACGCCTGCGGAAAGGAAACCGCGTGCGTCGCCGATGCCCCGACATCGGGACCTGCATTGACGATCCATTCGCGAAGGGACACCGGAGACTTCGACGAGATTATCGGCACAAGCGATGTCGCGCGCCCGAGATGACGCGTTTCTAATGATAAATTCTGATATCACCAGGCGGATCCACCGCGCGGAATGGACGCGGTCGAACATTGATCAGGAGTATCGATACGTAGCTAGTGGTTGGCAACTATAAATTGCGTTCGTACCGTTTAACCGACCATGGGAGCTGGAAAGTATGTTGACGCCGGTGATTACATTAATTAGAGCTCGATAACCTGGGATATCTGGCCGATGAAAATAGAGAATTTGAAAAGGAAAAGTGGAAAGTCGCGCAAATCTTAACGGGATCGATCGACGAGGTCGATCGGAAACGAGAGCGAGAGCGGTATCGATCCCTCGACGAAGAGATTTGCTGCCTTCCACTCGAGGGAGGGGAAGACGTCCTAATTATTTATCGTGCTCGTAATTTACCACCGGATCGATTTAAACGCGTACACGCCCCAGGTGCATCCCTCTCCCTCCCGTACCGAATTACTCGAAACGACTTTCTCGAAAATATGTCCCGAGCGAAAGTATAATCCTTAGATAGCTCCTTGTCCGGGCGATAAGTCGGAAATATGAGTACCGTATGTATAAAAATGATTATAATCCCTCATAGAAATTTCTGGTCCCGGTCGTTAGAGTCAAGCTAATTGGATGATTAGCCAGGTCTTGAGTCACTTATGTGACAATGGATCCGCGGACCTCTCATTGTCAAGGCTCGCGACCAGCAACGACTATATCCAAGGTCCGAAGACAAACGCGATGGAGTGACTTCGGTGGATATGAAAGTCAGTGGACGCGCCACGGGCAATGTCAGTGTCAATGCCGTTGACGGTGTCTCCGGCGGGCTTAGAAAAAGGGAAACATGACAACGCGACACGGGGAGAGAGAGGAGGAGAAAGACGGAGAGGCCGTCGCTGCTGGGATATAAGGGGATCGCGTTTCGTCGCATTTCTCAGTTTGTTATGCATTTCCACCTAACGCGACTGCTAGCCGAGCGAGGCCTCCGATCTGGGACATCATGAGGACGCGAATCGTTCTCCAAGTAATTCCACATCGACCGCGAGTGTTCCCCACTTCCCCGAGGAAAGCCCCAATCTCGTCTTTCGAATCATCACCGAAGCGCGCGGAATCACTCGCTCGGTGATTATTCTCGATAACTTGGATCCCGGTGACCGAGGTCCGCCGATAAGGACGGGATTAAAATTTCTATCATATAATAATTTCTATTACATAACTATATATAACCGCGCGGTTTTAAATTTCTCAAAAAGTGTCGAGGGAGGAACCAAGCAATTGGAGGAAGTGTGTCGCCTCGATGCGGTAGTGTCGGACCCGCGATCCGCTTCTTAGTGAAATTATGGAAATTGACGGTGAAAGTTGAGCGACTCCAGGTCTAACCATTAGTGCGGCACCTTGATCCAGTTTCGAATAATTGCGGAGCGATTTCCGCGAGGCGGCAATGATCGAAACCCGAGGTCCCTGGGAATTCCGGAATTTGATCGGACCTCCTTTTATTGGGCATTCTCAAAGTTTCGATTATTCTCTGAATTTTCAGCTGGCGTCGGTGATGCTCCTAGCACCGTGGTCGGAGGGTCTCTTCTTCGAGTAGTAAGTGTCACCGGTCGATAAGGCAGCCCCCTGTGTGGGGTAACTGCCTTTGTAAGCGCCAATAAATTAGCCGACCAGACTAATCCGAATTAACCACCGAGGACATCGCGATGCCGCTCGAATTACCGATTACCGCTGCGAGAGACAATCGCATTCCGCTGGTTCTGCAATCGATTACCGAAGGGGCGATTTTATTGGTCCGCGCGTCGAAGTGCGCCCCAAAGGGGTCTGCTCATAATTAGTTCCCTGCGGAGTCGACGTCTCTCCGAAATTTTCCTAAATAGAAATTACTCGCGTCAATTCGTCTGAAAATTACCGCCCCCTGACTTTACGTCGCCCCAAAAAATGAAGAACGGGGGAAGAAAATCGAATTTTCAAGCGACGATCCGACGGGGACTTCTTAGGATGTGAAAAATCGTGTAAATGAATTATCATATGCCGGCTGCACTCGTTGCATCGGGCCCGATGATGCGAGTGGCGAGCCGACGATTTATAATTGACGAGAGAGAATTATGCTCGCGGGCTGGTGATCGTTAAATCATTTGTACGAGCGCGATGAGCGTAGCGCGCCGCGAGTCGATTTTGTTGCCGCTAATGGCGAATTAATTCTCCAGCACTGGCGGTTTATCGGTGCATCATTTATGGGAGGATTAAATCGTTTTCGACGAGGCGGTTGCGTCGCGGAAAATCTCCCCCGGGCGGGTCCTTTTTTCCGTGACGTCTTTCCGCGGAAAGGCTCCTTCAGGGATGTTCCTCTTTCAGCCCGAAGAAGGCGCTCATGGAGTTCTTCCAGTCGCTCAAGGAGAAGAAGGAGGCGAAGAAGAGCCAAGGGGGTGTCGTCCACCATTATCACATGCACTACTACCCCTCCCCCGTGATCATTCCCACCGAACATTTGGCCAAAGCTCCGGGAAAACGGGACCTGGAGTCGTTGCATGGGTACGCGTCTTGATAAGGACTCGACGGAGACGCGTCCTTTGATTAGATGGTCTGGATTTACGGTGATGTGTCTTTCAGGGAGCAGCTGAGGTCCCTGGGGTGGTCCGATCAGGAGTATAAATCGGTACCAGAGCCGGAAGTTCTGTTACCGGATAGCTGGTCCGACCAGCACGAGTACCACGAGCAACCATGGACGTGGGAAGACAAGGTCATCGGTTGGTGGTTCAGATTGATGTGATCCTCGCGCGATCCTGACCGGGATCGTCTCCTTCGGTTTACACCTCCTCTCCACCTGGTCTTCTGCTTTTTCGTCTCTAGGTGATCATCAGGGCTACCACCAGCCGGAGGTCGTGGTGCAGGTGCCGCTGCATCAGCAGATTATTCTCCAGCAACCTCCGAAGGAGGAAAAATTAAATCCCCTGTCTAGCTTCTTCCAGAAGATACAGCGCATCAAGAACACTCTTTTCAGCAGCCAGGGCAAAAACGAGGACAAGTGCAAAGACAACACCGAAGTCTATGCCAACGACTTGAACACTTACGTCGTCTACTTCCGACCCAAAATGGCCAGGAAGATGTGAACTCGGGATCTGGTTCTCCAGACCTGGTTAGGAGTCCCTGAGACAATTATCCCTTCGGGATTTGAACTCTGGAAGCTATTGTTTCTTCGACAAGAAGAATTGGGTGCACAAGGTACCTTTGGCATCGACTCTGAGTGACAATGTGACCGACATGACAATTCATTTAGGCGATGAACCGATCTAGATCTTAAATTTACACAGCAGATTGATTCCTCTCTTAGGTTAAGTATTTATAATACTTTTTTACCGTCTCGATGATACTTTTATTATGACTTGTACGTTAAGAGTGTAGATCGTTGCGATACATTTTTTTTTTACCACCGTTTTTGGCTATTTTAACACCGGAAATAATTGCCTGAAAACATCCCAGTCTTTATTACGGTGTATTGGAAAGTCCGGCTTGCATGTCGCGAGTCATTTAATGCTTTCTCCAAGGATCACCGACATGCAAGGCTGTCATCTTCCATTTTCCCCGGATTGACCCGGAATCTATCCCCAAGTTGCACTTCCGGTTTCGCGGCATCCCTTCGGCGAAAAGAAAAAAACAAATTTAAACGCTCTCGCCCCAAAAGGAACATTGCCCAAAACGAATGTACCGATCGAACGGTAATTGCAAAACGCACGCAGCGAGAATAGAAAAAAAAAAAAAGAAAGGAAATGAAACATGGAAAACATGTACATTTCCAGGTTTCCAAATTTGTCCTGCCCTGCAACCGAGTCGGAAACGCATTCGCAAAAATTCCTCGGGTTGGTGAAATCGCTCCTTAGCTTGTTAAACTCGATTTGAGTTATCGTGTACTTTCATTACCGAAGAACGAGAGTCGGTCGCGTCGGTAACGTCGCTCCCTGTCGTCGGTGGCCGGGAAATTTTGCGGTCGATCGCGTAAATTTTCTGAATATTATGGGAACGAATTGGGGGCAGAGGATTCGGAACTGTCGCCATGAGCGGCCGGGGGCGGGCACAAGAGAAGGCGACATAAATATTGTACACAGGGTTATTTAAGAGGCTATTACATTTTTATGGCGCGGATGACGCATCGCCTCGACCGCCGCCCGTGCGGGACCATTACATCGGTATAACCTACTCGTAGAAACCCATAGACGTAGGAAACGCGCCAATTCGCCCGGAACGCACTTGCGGCCGCGATCCGTCGCGATTCCGCAGCGATTCCGCGAGCTTTACGCCCCGTTTACGCGCGGCCTTGCCGCGTAAACGTGGCTTAAAGCGTTGTTTCGACCTCGACTCTCGTGTCGGGCAACTTTGTCATCGATTGGGCATTTCCGAATCCGGGAAAATGACCGAAAATCATCGATCGATCCGTCGATTAGGTATGAATGAAAATTCCCCGCTGAAGAAAATCCGGGAATTTTCCGCGGGGGTATTTGTACATCTTGAACATCAATGAAAATCACCGATCGATCGTCGATTACGTATGAATGAAAATTCCCCGATCAAGAAAATCGGTTAATTTCCTGCGGGGGTATTTGTACATCTTGAAATGGATATCCATATGTAGAGGTTGTAAAAATCCGTCGCCGATGGCCAAGGTCGCGATTGGTCGGATGAGTACGTGGGGCTCGTTAAACCGGAGCCGCAATTGACAGTGATTGTGACGGAGAAGGCGCTCTTGACTGGCCGTAATTGACAAGACAGCGGCTCTGCGGCACGTCCGTCTCTTTCCTCCCTCGACCGCGTCGCCGCACTTTTCCGCCCTCGGTAGGGAAACGTTTTTCTCGCCTCTCGACTTTCCCGCCGGTTGACGTTTCCCTGCACACCGACGCCGACGGTGGATGACGCTATTAGTGCGTCGCGCTAAGGCTCGAGAGACTATTTCCACTCTCGGTTACTTTCTGTCGATACGTCGATCCTTTATTACCGTCTCTGTCCGCGCCTCGATTTATTTATTTACGAGTGACAATTTTTCCGCGACATTTTTCAGGATGAAGCTTCGGGAGACGAAATGCGGGAAAAACGGTTTTTCAGGGGATTAATAAATAGAGGTGGAGGACGGATGTATACGCGGTTCCCTTCTTTTTCCCTTTTTCGAGCGGAAACAAGAGGCTCACGGCTTTTAGTGACGCCAGGTGAGGAGCAAATATTTTATGAGGCCCCATAAAAATTCATTCGCCGATGAGGCGGCGGGCTGTCCTCCCGAAGATCTTTTGTCACCGCTGGAGGATCTTTTGAAAAAGTCAAGAGGGAACCACAACGTCTCGTAAACTCTTCCTCCGTTGTCGAAACCCGCGATCGAGTTTTCTATCGCCTGCCGGTGCCGGAAACCGCAAGACTCATTTTCTTTTTTTTTTCACCGAACAATACAATTCTCACGATTTTACCCAACGTAACAATTTTTAATAATTAACAATCCCCCGTTTACTCGATATATTGTTTGATCAAAAAAGAGACCTTGTAGGAGTATTACCAGCCTACCTAAAAAATCTGGCCGATCAATGAATTCGGAGATGTTAATAATAAATTTCCAATACGTTGCTTTCACTTCGCGGCATTAATCACCATTGCGAAGCCTTTGCACGGTTATTTCTCATCCGAGGCATTAAATTGCAACGTCGATACTTGATTTTATCTTACCGATGAAAAGTGGCGGATGCCGGGGATTAATTTACGGCGAGATATCGCGGTGACCGCACGCGGTCCATTGTTCGGAAAAGATTCGCGAAACCGTGAAAAAAAAAGGAAAAAAGAGCCGAAAGCGTCTTGCGCTCTCGAGGAACCAAAATGGCGGCCGTAGAAGAAGCGTCCTCCCGGTTTGCATTTTCCTTTGCGAGCGTCGCGATGAATCCATGGGGACGCCATCGACTGACGACCGGACGCGGGTTTATTTATTTATTTTTTTTTCTCCCCCTCGTAAAACCGCCCTTTTACTGCAGATTTAACAATAGCGCGGATTTATCGCGGTGACTTCCGGCGCGACGCGGCGATTGTTTAAAAAAAAGCGACGCGCGCGGCGATCGACCCGCCCTGGTGGCGACTCCCGGAACTCCGACATTCGGCTAGAGAGTTGTCCATTGTACGGTAGAATTTTCCTTTTCCACTTGAAAAATCGCCGGCGACGTTGCAAATGCATTAATAGCGATCTCGGGACGCGGATGAAAGGGAAAAAAAAAAAATTCCTGGTGGAAGGAATTAACTAAAAATAAGAGATTCATTTTGAAGAAAGACCAGGTGACTTATACGGCCTCGACGAAGGTACAAAATTAATTAACATCCTTCATTTTCCGTTGGACACCTCGGCGTCTCTTGGTCGCACCCCTTTAGATATTTCCGGAGGACATTTATTCGGTTCTTGACGAGGAACGCGGGATTTTCGAGCAGGGCGACAGTTTCGTAACACGTAGCGCGCCTCGGCGCATCCGGCGGAAAATAAATATTAAAAATGATGAATATTTAAAAACCACCCCCGGTAATTGGCCGCCTCTCCCCCCTAGGGCCGGGGCCCCGTCGGTAGCACTAGGTCGGCCATTTATTTAATTTGCATTTCCCGGAGCAATTTTATCAGGGCGCCCACCGATTAAATCTTTATCGCGGAGTTACGCGTTGTTTTTGAAATTAGAGGTGGCCCGGTCTGCCCCCGCCCCCGCTCGTTACCCCCCCACGTCCCGCCCCGGGAAACGTTCTCCTCTTTCATTCCGTTATTTTTATTCGGGTTTTCATTTTATCCCGGACCTCATGTTTTATGCACTCGCGTATTTGATTTTTCCATGCGCGCACCTCCACCCGCCGGGCGGGCGACGCGGGGCGGGAAAGAGAGAGAAAAAAAGGAACGGAGGGGGGAAAAATGGAAAACGAAAAAGGAGCAAAAAGCGACCGAGGGAGACAGAGGATCGGGGAAAAAAATGAAATTCCATCCGACCCTCCACTCGGTCGGTAAACAAGGCGACGCCGATTTCCCGAGTTCGAATTGCTGATCGAATCGATGGAAATTACCGCACGCCCGATTACGAATTATCGGCCCGCCGTCCGCCGAGGACCGACCGACAAATATTTGCACTTTTTATTTGTCATGCTAGTCAGGCCGCGGCTCGGCGAGCAAGGAAATCCTATGGGTTATCTCGGGATAATCGCTGCCCTCGATAACCCATCGATACGTGCCCGATGAAGATCGGGATACTCATCTTCGACTAAAATGCACTTTTATCAAAAATGCGTTTTATAAATATTTTCAACGGGTTAACCCGGACCTCGGTGAAAAGAAGAGCGTTTAAAACCGTTTTCGTCTAAAACGAAGAAGAGGGTCGGTGGGAGGTGCAAGAGGTGGACGAGGTTGAAGAGATGGAGGAGGTGGTCTTGGTGGAGGGCAAAGGGATTCGGTCTTGGATCCTTTCGAAGTTAATGATACGCTTGCGGTTTCACACCGCGATTTCGCGCAGTCCTAAACTAGTCAGCGCTCCGAGAGATTTACAGCAACCAATCATAGGGCTAATTTTATGCGTCTCGGAGAAATGTTATTTACTGTTAATTTGCGCGCGGCGGGGCTCTTAAGTGGCGGCGGGAAAAGAAAGGCAAACGTCGGGGCACAATTGCACGAGGCACCGAAAGAGACCAATATTCAGTTTCTTTCGGGAGAGAGTCCGAAATCCCGAACAAACGAAATGGAACGATCAAAGTAACACCGTTAAGAAAAAAAGAAGAAAAAGAAAAAAAAAATAAATCCAAAAGAACGCGCAACAATTTGTCTCCAGCTGACTCGCCCCCAACTGAGACCCTCCCTAAATTGAATGTTAATTTCGTTTGATAAAATATCCAGGCATCCAGGAGGGATTATAAATAAAGAATGAAAGGGTCGGTCGCGCTCGCGGAGCAGAAGAAACCTAATTAATTCTTAATGCGTCCTGGTGGACATTGGGATAGTTAAAAAAATGTAACTATATTCTCCCTCTCTCTGGGTGTCGATGATAAATCCAAATCGGGTCCGGAATGATATACAATTGAAAAGTAACTTCCTATAAATTTTTTGTCTTTACATATTTTAAGCTCATCT